GGCGGGGCCGCCGCCGGGTGGTCTCATAGGGGAATCGTTTTGCGGAGGACACTACAGGAGGTGGGGGGACTTTCTTATTTCTATCAATCGGGGAATTCTTTTAACGTCCTCTGGACAGGGACTCGCTTGACCTCTCACCACCCTTAATTCAGGAGCCAGCCTACCTCCCCGGACAGTTTTCAAGACCTTTTTCTATAATTGCTGAAATTGCCTCTCACGTTCTCTCTCTCAAAATTTTGAAGTGTGTGTGTGTGTGTGTGTGTGTGTGTTTGGCGGGGGAGGAGGGGGGTGCCTTGAGGATGTGAAACGCAAGAACTTTTTAAAGGCAATCAACAAGAGGGTACAAATGATAGACTAGGAAAAATTTTTAGGAGGAGGAAAGGTGATAGTAGGATTCCCTTATTTACCTTATCTCAACAATACGTCTGAATGAATTATATCTCTTTGGTGGTCTTTGGTCAAATTATTCTGTGTTCTTTAAGGCTGTAGTCTAAATCTTGTATTCCCTAATTCAGGTTACCTATGCACAGGCTCACTATAATTTTAACATTGCCTAGTTCTCAGAAATAGTTTTTTAAAGTATACTTTTCTAACCTTGTTTTAACTGGAGCTTTAAAAAATACACTAGGGATTAATGTTAAAATCTTTTTTTATTTATTTTTATTTTTATTTTTTATTTCTGGGTCTACGCCAGGTGGCAAATGAACAGCCAAGCACCCAGAGAACTGCTGGAGCCATTTCATCAGCCGAAAAATAACTCTTCAGTGTATCAGTGTTCTTTGTTTTGATGCCCCACATAAATTTTTAGGTTCAGGTGAGTACTAGATTTTTACTTCAGTGAAAACTATTTGGCATTAATGCTTGTGATCGGGACAAGCAGCGCTATATTCTTATGAACATCTTATTCCTAATCAGAATCATTCATTATCATGATTAATTTGGTAAGAGTTCCTCTCTTGAAGTTTATTGTTCACCCAGACTCCTAGTAAAGGGCCTGGTCACAACAAGTGTTTAATAAGTACTCCATGTAGTGCTATCAATTAGAATTTCCCAAGATGTTTTGTGCATGTGATTCTAGCAGATAGTGTTCTAAAGATTTCTCTGGTCAAATTTAGGAACAACTGTATTTGCAGTGCACAGGAGCATGTTAACAACTCTGAGATGTCTTATAATATGCAAATCTTTCATTTTGTTTAGTGCAGGGTTTCCTAAACTTATTTCACAACAGTTCTTAGGAGGTAATGCATCCCAGGAATCTGTAGTCCACAAAATACATTTTGGGAATTTCTGTTCTAAACTAAATACTGTATGTACTCTTTATTT